CTGCCTCCCCACTGGCTGCCCCCTGCCTGCCCCCTGCCTACTGGTCTGCCCTGTAGCTGGTCCCTCCTTCAACATCAAAGCCCTGTCAAATCTACCCAGAGCACCAAGGTTCATTAGTTTGCCAGAATCAACAAGGAACCTTCCCGGCCTGGCATGCCTGCCCTGACATGAGTTAACACTTATTCTCAAACTCCTTTAAAATCTTCTGAAACGGGCAAAAACTTCTGTAGAGTGAATGGGAGGGTATCAGTTTTCCACTCCACCACTGGCATCTGCGATGGCGGACACCTGGAGTGTGGTGTGGGAGCCCGTAGGTGGGCACACCTGAGCCTGGAGGCTGAGCCTATAAGGATGTTGTCACCGAGGTGCCGCAGCAAGCACGGAGGAGGCAGGCGACCATGCAGCAGGGTGAGGTAGGGACCACGAGAGAATGCCAGCGAGCCCAGAAAAAAATAGATTGACCAGGGGCTAGAAGGCCCGCCAGCCTCCTGGCTGCCTCCCTGCAGATGGTGTGGAAAGAGCATTAAAAGCCTGAGAAAGCCACCTAGGGCTCCAGGACGCTCCTTCACCCGTCTGCCGGGAGCCATAGAGAGCCTGCCCCGTGCCTTGTCGGTGCTACAGCATCACCCTGATACGGAAACCTGACAAAGACACAACAACCAAAAAAACTACAAATCCATTTCCATCACTAACATGAAAGTGAGGGGACATACTACGGTTGTGGGTTCTCACCTATGCACTCACAACCACAAAACTATGCACTCACAGCTGAGTCTCAGGGTAAAACAACAAGGGCTATTACAGGGGGAGTTGGAGGTGGGTGACTGAGGAAAAGGAAAATATTCCTAAGGCCACAGAAGACCAACTGTCTTGCCCCAGATCATGGCCACAGTGTCCAGTAGTCCAAGCCAAAGTTTGTGCAAGATGGTGCTGTCCATGCTGAGAGCCTGGAGCTGTAACACCCAAACGCCAATGAGCCATAGCCCAGGACCCAACTAATCTGTGGGAGCTGGCGGTAGTCCCAGGCCTCACCCCAGCAGTTGAGCAATGAGCCAAAGCCAGGCTGGGCCAGCCGGACATCAAACTTGGCAGCTCTGCAGAGAAGCTGGGCACAGGCCAGAGCCTCTCCCAGTGGACGCAGCCCAAAGGCTTCCGTGAAGGTCCCTCCTGAAGCTAAATACCCCCGCCCCAAGCTCCCTCGGAGCTGAGTCAAGCCTCCCTGAAGCTTTGGCTCGTATCCTTCCGCCTTCCAAACCTGATTTGGCTCATTTTTCAAATCAGCTGTTTGCAATACTTAATTAATGCCAGGGGAAGTTTAAACCTATCAGGTGCCAGTGGGTGCTCGAACCGTGTACATTTTCAAAACCAGTTCAGGGTTTAACAGCGAAAGACTGGTCATGCATCCAAGCTGCCCTGAACGGGCTCGTGAGAGACCCAGGCAGGTAAGCTCTGCTGTATCTCAGTGGCAGCGGCCAGGTTTAAAACTGACCTGCGCATCCTCCAAACTGCCACGGGCTGTTTTTCTTCTTTTTATTTTAAAGCCCAAACCTGGCTGTTCCAGTCTCCTGTAGCAAAGCTGAGGCTGAGCTCATCAGTGTGTGTCTCATGTCTGATATGTGTGTGTTGGGGGGAGGGGGGGGAGGGGGGGGAAAGTGCCTGCAGAGAACCAAGCGCCATAGGGGCTACTGGAAGTGCCTCCACTTTCTTCCTGCCATCCTACCCTCCTTGCCATATGTGGGGCCTCAGCTACAAGCTTGCCTGGTTCTCCAAGGCACCAGACACAAGTTCACAAAGCCCATTTGTGAAGCCAGAAAGAAGTCTTTATTACAGCGACAAGAGATACATGGTAGCAACAATGGCCCCTTCCCAGGCCTCCCAGGCCTTCTCTGGTCCTGAAACAAACCGACAGACCGAGCTGGGTGTGGGTGGCAGAAATGGGGGGCTCCTCTGCTGGCGGCTGTGAGAGCCGTTTCTCTCCCTGCACTCCCGAGTGGGGGTTGCGGGAAGGAGGTGGGTGAGCAGTGACAGAAAGCAGAACTTCGGTGGCTGCACCGGAAAGCTTCGCCTCTTCTGCCCTCTCCGAATTACTGCGTCCTATCACGAGCGTTTCAGAGGCTGCCGGGGTGAGATGACGAATGAAAGGAAGGAAATCCGCAGGCCACATGGGGAAAGACCCTCAGAAAAAGCTGGGTTTCGGGCGGAGCCCCGCAGAGGAAGCTGAGAAAATCAGCTTAAAGTTTGGTCTCATCGCCCCCTGGCGGTTGGAGAGGTGCACCGCACATGCTCGGAGCCTGAAGCCAATCGCGGTGCAGAAAAGCGGGCCCAAGTTTAGGACTGTTAGTTTTTTAACTTTTTCCAACTAGGAGGGCAATAAGCAACCACCAGTCAATTTGTAGAGTGATAAAGCAGGCATTGCTGTTGACAAAGGATGAGCAGCTTGTTTGGTGGTTAATCTAGATCGTTATGGCCCCTATTTTGACATCAAAACACTGTCTCCTTTCAGCTCCTCCGCGGTTTATTGAGGATGCGATAGATGCGAGCTTTCTGGCTCCTAAGAAACACCCACAAGAGACCTGTGACTGCCTCCACCTCACCTTCCTCTTCACGCGGCCTTAGTCAAATTCTAGGTGAGATTTGCTTCCAGAGACAGGAGAGCATCGTACTCTATTGGAAATCACATAAAAACTAACTTCATGGGAAAAGAAAATGTGAAAACTGCGTGGGGAAATCTCTTAGAAAACATCGATTTTCCTTGGAGTTACCCTAAGAGGAAAGTTGAGAAAATCAATTTAAAGTCTGGTCTCTGTCGCCCTCTGGCGGTAGAAGTGACGTATCACATAGGCAAACCAAAAAGCAGAGAGCTTGGAATCTGTGGACACCAAAGACCAGAAGACCCTCTCAGTGAACCACCCGTCAGAGCTGTGCCTCCAAGCTGAGGGGGGGCTTAAGAGTTAAAGAACAGCAGAGACGGGTAAGGCGCATGTCAACAGCTCTTCTCACCATCCAAACCAGAACATAAAAGATGGAGCTGCAATGAGAGCAGTAAGGACGAGTTTCAGAAATTAACATTCTTTGCTACTGTCTTGGTGACATGATGTGCCAACAGGGACAAGCTTTTTAGATTGTGTGCAGAGATGGAGAGGCTTGGGGTTTGGGGGACCGATGGTAAAGCGAGCTGGGAACAGGTGAAGCTACAGGGTTAAGGACAGATGTCTCATGAGGACTTGGGGTTTCATTTTGCAATCAGTAGGAGCCGTTATGCAGGTTGAGAATAAGGAAAATAACATGAACAATTTCACGGGTTTGAAAAGAATGTTCTGGTGGGAAGGATGGGCTAGAAGGACAAAAAAAAAAACAAACTAGAAACACAGTCAGATGACATGGGCCAGGCCTGATGGGACCAAAACTAAAGTAATATCAGGGAGGATGCAGAGTTAGAGAGATGTGAGGAAGCAGGTGTCATTGATGTTTCCATCAGTTATATGTGGGAGACAGAAAGGGCAAAGTAGAAGATGCTTGGGAGACAAGGGTTCTGATTCCAGTCACCAAAAAGAGCAGGTGGAAGGAGAGCTTAAGGAGAAAGAGAACATTTCCAGTTGAGATATTCTGTGTATCTTGAGTCATTCAGCTGAAACTTTGCCCTGTGTGGTGGGCAGAATAATGCCCCCACTGTGAACCCCTGGGTGGGGCCTGTGAATGTTACCTTCCCTGGCAGAGGGGACTCTGTGACTAAGGGGAGTAGACAGAGTCCTAGAGTATCCAGACGGACCCAAAATAACCACAGAGGCCTTTGTAAGTGAAAGACAGAGAAACAGGAGAGCCAAAGGTGTAATTACAGAAGCAAAGGTGAGATGGAAGAGGTTACTGGGAGGAGACCACATGCCAAGGTGTGCAGGGGGGCTCTAGAAGATGGAAAGGCAAGAACAGGTGCTCTTCTAGAAGAAAAGCAGGACTGCTGACACCTTGATGGCCATTTCAGGTTTATAATCTCCAAGAGTAGATAACCCTAACAAAGGAAGGTGAAAGACTTATGCAAACAAAATTATAAAACATTGATAAAAGTGGGCCTTCCCTGGTGGTGCAGTGGGTTAAAGCACAGCACTATGAAGCCATCCACAGCCACTGCAGCATGAGTTCAATCCCAGGCCAGGGAGCTGACCCACATGGTGCAGTAGACCTTTCCTGTCTCACCTGCTCTCTCTCAGTGTATTTCAGCCCACCACCCGTTCTGCTCCCCACTCTTTCTCTGGTGAATCCTCTTACCCCCTGCACCTCTGGCCTGCACCTCAGCTCTTGTATTCATAAATAAATAAATCTTTTCAAATGATAAAAGAAATAGAAGAATCAAAAAATGGAAAGGCCTTCCCTAATCATGGGTTGGAAGAATTACCATTATATAAATGGCCGTCTTACCAAAAACAATGTATAAATTCTGTGCAATTTTAATAAAAATCTCAATGGCGGGCCCTCCCTGGTGGCGCAAGGTGTTAAAACACAGCACTAAGAAGTTATCAAAGCCAATGCAATATAAGTTCGATCCCTGGCCAGGGGGGTGACCCTCATGGTTCAGCAGACCTCTCCTGACCCACCCACTGCTCCCCTCAGTCCATCTGCCAGTTCTGTTCCCCACCCTGTCTCTGATGAATCCTCTCAACCTCCACCCCCGGCACCTCTGGCCTGTTCCCTAGTTCTGATATATAAACAAATAAATCTTTTTAAATAATCTCAATGGAATTCTTCAAAGAAGCAGAAAAACTATTGCTGAAATTCATATGGAATCACAAAAATAAATGGCCAAAGCTCTTCTGACTAAAAAACAAAAGGTTCTTAAAACTGTAAAGCACTCGTGGTTCCAGTGGGGAAAGAAGGAGGAAGCAGGGAGCCTGGCGGTTGGGCAGTTGGGGTGGGGGGGCAGTGCTCGCGTGGGGAAGGAGGTGTGAGTCCTGGGTGCGAGCCGGTGGCGGCGCCGCCGCTGCGGGAGGGTGGGCGGCGGGAAGGCAATGGAGGATATAGATAAACTCAACATCAACAGCATCATCCAACGGCTGCTGGAAGTGAGAGGGTCCAAGCCTGGTAAGAATGTCCAGCTTCAGGAGAATGAAATTAGAGGACTGTGTTTGAAGTCCCGAGAGATCTTTCTCAGTCAGCCTATCCTACTAGAACTTGAAGCACCGCTCAAAATATGTGGCGATATCGATGGACAATACTATGATTTGCTTCGACTTTTTGAGTACGGTGGTTTCCCGCCAGAAAGCAACTACCTGTTTCTCGGGGACTATGTGGACAGGGGGAAACAGTCACTGGAGACCATCTGCCTCCTACTGGCTTACAAGATCAAATACCCAGAGAATTTCTTTCTTCTCAGAGGAAACCATGAATGTGCCAGTATCAATAGGATTTATGGATTTTATGATGAATGTAAAAGAAGATACAACATTAAACTATGGAAAACTTTCACTGACTGCTTTAACTGTTTACCCATAGCAGCCATCGTGGATGAGAAGATATTCTGCTGTCATGGAGGTTTATCACCAGATCTTCAATCTATGGAGCAGATTCGGCGAATTATGCGACCAACTGATGTACCAGATCAAGGTCTTCTTTGTGATCTTTTGTGGTCTGACCCCGATAAAGATGTCTTAGGCTGGGGTGAAAATGACAGAGGAGTATCCTTCACATTTGGTGCAGAAGTGGTTGCAAAATTTCTCCATAAGCATGATTTGGATCTTATATGTAGAGCCCATCAGGTGGTTGAAGATGGATATGAGTTTTTTGCAAAGAGGCAGTTGGTCACTCTGTTTTCTGCACCCAATTACTGTGGCCAGTTCAACAATGCTGGTGCCATGATGAGTGTGGATGAAACCCTGGTGTGCTCTTTTCAGATTTTAAAGCCTGCAGAGAAAAAGAAGCCGAATGCCACGAGACCCGTAACATCTTCAAGGGGTATGATCACAAAGCAAGCAAAGAAATAGATGTCACTTTGACACTGTTTAGTCGGGACTTGTAACATATAGTACATAACTTCCCTTTTTAAGACTGGAATGTGTTTTGTTTAGCTTGCTCAAATAGTGTGTTTGTGGGGCCCCTTTTCCATTTTTAACCTAATGAATGGCATTTGCTGGTTACAACAGCAAATGAAGGACTCCACTCTTTAGAAACAAAATGTTTTGTTTTTCAACTCTCTGTTCCATTTGCAAACAACTTTTATGATGGTGTTAAAACTGTATGCCCTGGGACAGGTTAGCCTGTCAAAGGGGTAAATGTACAATTGATTTTTTTTAATTCAGTACAACCCATGAATAATGTAAATGCTCATTTTCTTTAGGATATAAAGAGAGCCCTAGGGTGCTCAATCTGTACATGTTATTGTGATACGCATCATGAAATGCGTATCGTTGATACAAACCACAATGAAAAGTTTTTAAAAATTTTGTTTCAAAGGGCTTGCTTTTTTTTCTCTCACTGTCGTGTCATGAACAAACTAGTTTTTAACATTAGGAGTGACCTTCAACCTTGCCAGCATCATTGGTATGATGTATTTAATTAAAGCACACTTGCCCTTCCTATACTAAAAATGACAATTAAAACCATTATTTTAAATGTTTGTCACTCTTTCCTAAAGCCAAATTTTCTGTGAAATAACGTGTGGACTCCCTGGAGTACAGGTGGCCGGCTACTTGCCCAGTGCTGCCTCTTGAGGATTCAAAACCAGGTTTTTCATTTTGAATAGCAGCTAGTAACTTAGTGACTGTTTAAGCTATTAGTAATTAAAGTTAGTAACATTTTGTACAATTTTCATATAGTCTATTCATTAAGTAATCTTTTTACAGTTACGTCTGAACCCGTCCATTCAGAAAGCTTCAAACTATAGAAACAATACTGTCCTATACGAGTGACCGATTATGCTTTCTTTGGCCTACGTCCTTTATTCTGCGGTGAAGTTGAGGCTTATTACTCAAAATAAAGGAATTAACTTGCAATCCATCAGTATCTATGACTTTTTTAAACTAAGATCTGTTCAAAAGAAATCTGCTTTCAACAGATGACCGTGTACAATACCACGTGGTGAAAATGAATTCAGACTCATTAAATGACAAACTTGTAAAATCTTCTCGGTGTTGATTTATCAGCACAATACATACAGGAGAACTGTTGATGGCATAGTGAATAGATTTTAATGAATAAATGCTCTGGAAACCACAAAATAAAATAAAACTATAAAGCAGCTTCCTGCAGTTATTATTTTTCAATGCTGGGAAATAGAGCCACTTTTCATAAGTGTGTTATTTATTGCTTCTAAAACTGTTGAATTTTGAATGTTCTTCATACATATCCAGTTATTTGTTCTTTGTCAGTTATGTGATCTGTACATTTTTTCTCCCAGTCTAACATGCCTTTCCATTCTCTTGAAAGGGCCTTTCGCAGAAAACAAGTTTTTAATTCTGAAGTATAATACCTCTCCTCTTTCTAGCTACATATTTCAGTGAGGTTGTATTTTCTGTATGTATTTCAAGCAATACAACATATTTTACAGATCAACTGTAGAAGAGCATATGACCAAGTTATCTTTTTTTTTTTTAAAGATTTATTTATTTGGCCCTCCCTGGTGGCGCAGCGGGTTAAAGCACTGCACTAAGAAGCTTAAGCCACTTCCTCATGAGTTCGATCCCCGCCTGCCCGGGAGGAGATCCACATGGCGTGGCAGACCTCTCCTGACCCACCCGCTGCTCCCCTCAGCAGTGTATTTCGTCGATCTGCCTGTTATGCTCCCCACTATGTCTCTGGTGAATCCTCTCACCCTCCACATCTCTGCCCTGTACCCCAGTTCTGTATGAATAAATAAATAAATCTTAAAAAAAAAATAAAGATTTATTTATTTGTGCATACAGAACTGGGGTGCAGGCCAGAGGCTCAGGGGCGGTGAGAGGATTCACCAGAGTGGGGAACAGAACAGGCAGATCGACAAAATGCACTGCTGAGGGGAGCAGCGGGCGGGTCAGGAGAGGTCTGCCCGCCATGTGGTCACCTCCGGGGCAAGCGGGGATCGAACTCATGCTGAAGTGGCTTTAGCTTCTTAGTGCTGTGCTTTAACCCGCTGCGCCACCAGGGAGGGCCCCAAGTTATCTTTATTAAAGAGATTTTTCCTTCTGGTATCTGTGTCTGTGTCACTACAAATACTAGAGTCTTTCCATCATTCTTAAAATCAGGCAGATGGACTGTCTATAAATAAAAGAAATCATGCTGGGGTTTGGGTAAGAATTGAGTTGCAAGTTTATCAACTTGGGAGAACAGGCTTCTCTCCTAAGCTTGGTGGGTCGTCTAATTCATGAACACTGTGTGACCTCATTTATTTAGATATGTTTTGATTCCTTTTATCTGTGTTGTGCAGTTTTCAGCATAGAGAGGTTGTATATTTCACTAGGATGATATCTAACTATTTTAGTTTTTAAATCCAAAAATGTATTTTTTATTGTGGTTTCCTACTCATCTCGATTCAGGGGTTCTGGAGCTGCTTTAGTCCTGAGGCACGGCTTTACATCCCTGTGAGCTGGCAGTGCCTGGTGGAGCCATCATCTACATACCACATAGGTGCCTGACTAACCAGCCACCTGGGGTGATTTTCTAGCATCCTGAGTATTTGGCATCAATGAAATAGGAACTGGGTCTCTTCAAGAGATACCTTTTATGTTTCCTTCCTTTTCTGGAAGGAATAAGGGTATCTTTGGAAAAGGTATTTTTTTCATGGGAAGATCCAGAAAGGCTTGAGTGATTTTATTTTGAGATATTTTATTTTTCAATTTTGGTACTTGTGTGCTCATTTGCTAGTACATAGAAATACAGTTGACTTTTAGTTAATTATCTTATATCCTGTAACCTTGTGAAACTCACCTTTTAGTTCTAGTTTAGAATTCCTACTTATACAATTATGACACCTGACTTTTTTATATATATAATAGTTCATTTTTACGTCATTTTGTGCCTTTGTCCATCTCAGTTGTAATCCCCGTGGGCTTCCCATCACCAGATCACCCATGTTCCGTCACCATAGTCCAGTGCACTCCCCCCACCCCCAACCCATTTTTTATCCATTTCCCACTCCACCCAAGTAAAATGTCTCTGGTATATAGTTGTTCATTATTGTTTTATTATTTTTCCCCTTGGTCCTTTGTGTTCCTGCTATGAGTGAAACCATCTGGTATTTTTCCTTTTCTTTCTGGCTTATTTCACTAACCATGATCCCTTCCAGCTCCATCCATGTTGCTGCAAATGGCATGAGTTTATCTTTTTGGATTGCTGAGTAATATTTCATTGTGTATAAGCACCACATCTTTCTAATCCAGTCATCTCCTTTTGGGCATTTGGTTTGATTCTATGTCTTTCCTATTGTAAATAAAGCAGCAATAAACATGGGGGTGCAGATGACATCTGACAGTTTTATTTCTTCCTTTGCAATCTGTATGCTTTATTTTTTGTTTCCTTTTCTTGCTTACTGTACTGGCTAGAACTCCTAACACTATGACGAGTGAGAGGGAACATCCTTGTCTTGTTCCTGGTCTTAGAGGGGACACTCAGTAAACTAATGTTTATGGTAGATGCACTTAATTAAATTGGGAACAGCCCCTCTATTATTATTTTAAGCAATTTTATCATGAAAGGGTGTTGACTATATATTTGAATTGCTCTTTTCTTGCAGCTGCCTTTACTACCGGTTGTCAAAGATCTATATTTATTCCACTTAACTCTACGTAAAGTCTTTGAATATGGACTCTATGTCATAGAAAAGGAGGGTGGTGAGGGACAAAGAACTGTCTTAAGTAATCATTTTGGTGATAGTAGCAAGTTTCTTGATCCTTAAGCTATTTTTTATGCACACACACACACACATATGTTAATTTGGCTATAAATATATATATATACACACATGTATGTTATATGTGTGTATGTTAATTTGGGTAAAGCAAGTAAGCAGGGATAGATATTCTAATTGTGGTTAACACTATGTCCTTGAAACCCAGAATTCTTTTTGGAGGAAGGGAGACATAAATGAAATATAAAGGAAACTAAACTTTTTAAATGTATACACATATAAATCTTGGTTTATACAAATGTAAAAATGTATGTAAGCATAACTATTAATATTTCCACTGAAAAGTCCTGGTAGAATGACCAATTCCTAACTCTGGATTATGGTGTTAAGTGACATTTCCCATTAAAGTCAAACAGGGATTTCTGGAAAAATGACTGAGTCCAGGTCTGGGCAGAAAATGTACAGAATGAACCTGAAACACTGTCAGAACAGATAACAAAGGAGTTCTCAAAAGGCTGTGTCAAAAAGAATACAGGAGTCACTTGAAGTTTCCACTCACCAAAAATGAAACATTTGAACTTTTTAACATGGATAAAATCCTTCAACTGCATTTAACCCTTGAATTTATAATAACACAAAATGTAAAAAAATCGAATTGCATACCTTTAGATAATAGTAGGTGAAAATTAATTTGAACACTAAAAATAGAGGAAAAGATAAAATATTCTTTCTCACCACTGTACCACTGGCAACCCACTAGTGAATGAAGGGAAATGTCTCTTTATAAAGCAATAAGGCATATAAACAGACATGGAATGGTAAATTAGAATATCCCTGTTTTTCCACCCCCCAAAAGTAAAGCACCTAGAGGGCTAACATCAGCGGTTACTGGCGTCAGAGAAACAGCATTATGTACCTCGTGGTTGAAAACCACAGCACTGCTTTCAGAGGGACCAACCCTCAGCCTGACCCAGCCTTTGGATCCAGACGCCAACTTGCGGGACACGGGGTTTGTCAAACTGCACCAGGAGCGTGCCATCTGCAAATTCCAGACCCTGAGCCCCTGTAATGGTTCAGGTTTTTCAAATGAAAGGGGTGGAGGAGAAAAAAAGTCAGTCAAATGTAAGAGACATAAAAGACAACTAAGCTAAAGTGCCCAGGATTCATACTTAAGTGAACAGACTAAAAATACCAAAAATAGAAAGTAAAGTAGTCTAGGGCCATACTACCCTGAACGTGCCCGATCTCGTCAGATCTCGGAAGCTAAGCAGGGTCAGCCCTGATTAGTACTTGGATGGGAGAACGCAGTAGGTTTCATTTGATAGCAAGGAAAGGATTTGACTGGCTTCAAGCACATGGAGATTTCTGCAGTGGTTCTATATCATGATCTGAGTGCTGATTATTGGAGCTTTTGTCTTAAATGATTCATTTCAGGGCCCTCCCTGGTGGCCCAGCGGGTTAAAGCACAGCACTAAGAAGCTTAAGCCACTTACGCAAGAGTTCGATCCCCGCCTGCCCCGGAGGTGACCATATGGCGCGGCAGACCTCTCCTGACCCGCCCGCTGCTCCCCACTCTGTCTCTGGTAAATCCTCTCACCCTCCGTATCTCCGGCCTATACCCCAGTTCTGTATGAATAAATAAATAAATCTTTTTAAAAAATGATTCATTTCAGAAGGCACAAAGCACAACAGACCACTCCTGTCCCACCCGCTGCTCCCTCACTGTGTGTTTTCAATCAGTCTGCCTGTTCTGCTCCCCACTCTGTCTCTGGTGAATCCTCCCACCCTCCCATCTCTGGCCTACACCCTAGTTCTTATATGCATAAATTAATAAAAACAAATTTTTTTAAATAGAATAGGATCCCCATATCTGGTGATACTACTATAGCTCCCCATCATAAACTCCCACAGTCCACCACCATCTGCCACTGGGCTCCCCCCCCCCAACTTTGTGCTCACCCCTCCCCTTTCCAACTGCACAGGGATCCTACACTTCCAAAACACAATGTAAACCAACATTAGCTCACTAAAAAAAAATTGTTTCAACTTATGAATTTTTTTAATTTTTAAATTATGAAAAAACCTACAGATTTTTTTTTGTAATGGTCTAGTGATCAGCTGGAAGACAATGGATGCCTTGGTGGTATGGGAA